TGGTACGACCGCGTGTTGGTTTGTGCGAGTCTCATCTGAATAAATAAAAACAATATTCCCCCAGTTTACACTGCTGTGCTGTTGTAATGTTGCAGGAGTTGGGGAAGACATGGGAGGAGGTGCAGTCTGAAGATGACAGGGAGCTCTTTGAAGATGAAGATGAGTAAGGCCTTCAGCTTTTTACTCTAAAGATCACATTTTCAGTTTTTTTTTCTCCTTTCTGATATTCTGCACTCTCTGCAGTGATTGGTCGGATTGGCAGGCTCATCCTGTGTATGCCGTGTGTCTGTTTTGTGAGCAGCAAGCAGAAACAATGGAGAAAATGTACACACACATGGAGGTATATGATGTTGCTTAGGGAAAAAATTATATTTTAATATTTTCTATGCATTTTTTACATTAGTTTCAATGATTTTGTTCCTCCAGGAAACTCATGAATTTGACCTGCACAAATTAAAAACAGACTTAAGTGAGTATAATTGCAGAAATGTTGCCTTGTTTTTGAGAAGAACTCTTGACCACACAGAGGGTCTTTAATGTAATTTGTGTCGTTTGTCCAGGCCTCAAGTTTTACCAGCAAGTGAAACTAGTGAATTACATCCGGCGTGAGCTTCACCAGTGCCGATGCTACTGCTGTCAGGAGAAGTTTGAAACCAAAGAGGAACTAGTGCAACACCTGGTTAACACAGGTCATGGGATGCAGCTGCCTGAGATCTCGCACTGGGACCAACCGCAGTAAGTATGACATTTTCACATCACTTTTTTTCAGTCGAGTTTTCATCTGGACAATTAAAAAACGAATTCTATTATTTATTTTATTTGATTATGTATTTGTATTTTTATATTATTTATTTTATTAACATTGTTAAATATTAGACTCAATAAAGACAATTATTGAGAATATAGAATTGAAATGAGACATTATTTCAAATCTGTAATTGAAAAACTAAATAGTTTTACATATTATATAGGCTTTGGACATCAGAATGAGCACTGACTCTTATACTGTAAACAAAAAAAAATATGTGCTGTTTTTCCAGATATTACTTTCCTACGTATGAGAACGACGCTCTTCTTACAGCTCTGTCGGACAGCGAGAGCGAATCTGAGGGTCCAAATCCCAGCTCTGAAGTTCCTGTTATTGCTGAAGACATTTCGAACCTCAAGGTTATAAAACAGACCAGTGTGCTTAATAAACTGCTCAAAGACAGAGCAGCTGTCAAAGACTCCAACTGAAGATGAGGGACACCCAGAGAATTATGTTCCTATTGCTTTCAGTTTTGAGATTAATGATGTGACTATTCATTTCTATTCATATGGGTTTACGAGAAAGCTGTCAAATAAACTTTATTTAAATATGCCATCAGCTGATTAATGGAAATGCCTAATTGAAAGGATTTGACTGAAAATAACCTTTTGGTTGGGAAATTTGGCTCATACCTGACAGGGCAGTTTAGTACTGTACTAGCACTGTAAATATTAACATTTGTTTTAATAAAGATATTGTCAGAACAGTCTACACACAACACGTTCCCACTATAAGCAAACTGTCATATCAATACACTACACAGGTTACACTATTAACACTAATAAAATGAACAATTATTAGGAATAGCCTAAAGAAATGTAAAAACAAGGTAGAGAATGGGAAAATTCAATCAAAATATAGTGCAAGTATAATCTCTGTATTTTAGTAGTTGTAAAATACTGATTTATATATTGGCATATAGTTTGATATACTTTTTCACAATACTATATATAATAGTAAGTATAGTAATATGTCTTAACAGAAGTGTATTCATTTTTATTGTGTGGTCACATTAGCGAATTCACACTGAAAATTTTTCAGGGAAAGAAGGTTAATTGTCAATAGTGAAGTATGAAGCTCACACAAAAGTCACTCAATCCAAGCAGTTTTCGGTTAGTCAACGTGACGCGAATCAGTGTAAACAACTTTACGAAGGGAAATCTTTCGTCCTTCACAAATTCACAATCATATGGAAGCCTGGAAGGAAAGATTTTTTTTCTGGCAATTTCAAGTTTATATCTCACAATTCTTTTTTTTTTATCTTCTAACAAGTATGAGTTGTCTCACAATTGTGAGATATAAACGCTCAATTGCATGAAAAAAGTGAATTGTGAGATAAAAAGTCACAATGACTTTTTTTTGTACTGGAAACGGGCTTCCATACAATCGCGTGAATTCCCATTGAAACAACTGGATTTCACCTGGGAAAATTCTCAGAATGGTAAATCTGACTGTGTCTTTAGTTTCTGTCATTTATTTCACTTATATAGAATATACATTTAATAGTAACCTACATTTATAAGTATCTCATAGGTCTTTTTTAATCCATTGATGGGATAAAACATAATTCCTTACACGAGGTTGCCGTAAAAGAGCCACTCTTTTATTCGTATCAAACTCATTCTCATGTCTGATTTCAAACACGCAAACAATCATTGAAATCATCCCAGTGTCTCGTTCATTCACTGTTAAAGCCATTCGCAGGTTCCTTTAAAAAAACACAAGGCCTTAGACCTCTTCATACATGTCTTCAATCAATAAATATTGCATATTTCACTAGGAGTAAATCCTCATGTCTTTTGGTGAGGACTAATCAATCGTACACAAGGCACTTCAGAACATGTTACAACAAGTAGAAATACTCAACCCAAACTGCTGTAAGTGCTAGCAACACATAATATTAGTCACATGATCAACCAAAATATACAAATAGTATAAATTTATAAAGGCAGTAGAAAATCTTCTGTATAAACAAATAAAACAAAATACACTTCACTGCACAGATCTGAATGTGTGGGTCATAGTGTTAAACGGACACTACATCCCTTGTATAGATACCAAATATAAGGCTGTGCTTTGTTTAGTGCAGTTAAGAGGCACTGCAATATGGCTGAGCTGGTAATGGGTTTCACGCTGCGCTGCTGGATCTGTGTACAAATGCTGCATTCAACAGTTTAGCGCTGATACAGTTATAATCTGGAGTTCATAAAGCAATGTTTATAATGAGAAGTGTTAAAATGGCAGTGGGAGTAAAACGATACAGAAGTTACAGCTGTAACAGCTGAAATGGTTAGTATATGCAATACTGTTAAGCCCATCAGTAACGTATTGTATGTCAATCTAATAAAAACATTTTTTTTGATCTCCAGGCCATACTCGACCCTAACATCAAAAGGAAATGATCATTTTGCATTAAAAAAATTAGGGATGCACGATATATCGGCCACCATATCGGTATCGGCCCATATCGGCTCATTTTTTCTGTTATCGGTATCGGCCTGATAAGAAAATTTGGCCGATATCTTAAAGCCGATAAATAATGCATTATTTCCTTCAGAGACACTTCAGATGCGCGCTGTTCGTTTGCAGCCTTTTGTGCAATTGTACATTGTAATATTGTGTTTATTTGATGTATATCTGATTTATCTCATATAGAATGCGTTTGGTTAAGTTAAAAAGAGCGCTTCAGTTTACCGGTGATCATCTTTAGCTCAGCACACGCAGCCCAAACAGCAGTGCACAACATTAATAACTATGATTGGGAATGTCATGTATATAACATTCTAATGAGAACATTATTATAATAAAACGTTGTGAATTCTTTGGGGTTAGTTGCCGTGTTTCAGCGCGTTGTTATGGGAAGAGCGCATCCACAACAGGATCACACATTCTGACTATAGCATGCAATAACTGCGTCATTTTGTACATATATAAGTTGTAATATTATGTTTATGTTGTATTAATATTAATCTCAGGATGCATTTCCTTGAGTTAAATAAGCTGCCAGCAAAACGCTTCAGTTTACCATGTTCATTCAGCTCTTCAGCTTCAGCACGCACAGCTCAACGGCTGCTATTTAAAACAGTGGTATTAATTTGTTACTTTTTCAAAATCATTGATATATTATTAATAACAACAACCACTTGTATTTTTCTCTTATTATTTTCATCAACAATATGGTTTTTGAAAATGATTAAAATCATTTAATTATTGTCCGTGCAGAGGCTATTCCGTTTTATTGATCTATGGCGCATTCATTTTGATTCTTTACACGTGTAATGATGTCCAGTGACTTGTTTGCATTATTTATGCATAATTTTATTTATTTGTAAGACTTTTTTATGACTAAATTTGGTAATGGGAGAGTAAAAATATTTTTAAAACGTACACCGTTCAAACTAGGCTGCTTATGTTGAAGTGTTTGGGATGTGGCTTTTAATGATGAGACCTTTTTTGTAATCAGGCTCTCAAAAAGTATATAACAATTTGGATATAGATTTATCGGCCAACATATCGGTTATCGGCTTTCAAAAATAAAGAATAATCGGTTATCGGTATCGGCCAAAATTTTCATATCGGTGCATCCCTAAAAAAAATTTAAGCATATTTTAGGTTCATTAATCTAAAAATTATTTTCATGACAATTAAGGATAGAAATTTGCATTAATGGGATGATTCTCATTTTTACTGCAATAATTTTCATATATGTTGAATAATTTTATGTAATATAAAAATAATTTTAAATACATTTTAAATCCAAAAATATTTTGCGTTATGGTAATGACATTTTTCATTATGTAATCACAGGGATATTTTTACTGTAATAAACCAAAAATCCTGTATATGATGTATAATATAACAATAATAATTTAATATATTTAATATAAAATCATTTTAAATCAACAAAACCTTTTGCAGTATGGTACTGACATTGTTTTATTATGTAATCACATGGATTTTTTTTACTGTAATAAATTTTATAAATTTAAATTGAAATGTAATAAATTTTTCGCACTGCTGTAATTGTATTTGTTTTTTACAAAAAAGGATTGTAATAAGATCATTTAATTTAAAAAAAAAAGTCATATTACAATAATAACATTTTCATTATGATAATGACAAAAAAAAAGATTGTCATTAAAAAAATCTTTTTAATAAAACAATAGGTTTTATTTCTTTATGCAACTTCACCCTTGCTGAGTAATGAATTTGTGTAGAGACCAATATGACATTCTTGTAAGCAAGTTGGCCCATTTGTAGCTATTTTTTCCATCACAAACAAACACCTGAGATTTTATAAATTGCTGTGCTGCTCAATTCAACTTAAAGCAGCCGTACATGATGTCCAGATACACCGGCAGCTGCTTACAGCATCGTCACACTATAGGGTCCTGTTCTACGATTTAACCAGCTTGAAACCTTGGCCTGTATCCAGCACTGCAGGTGGGAACCATGTAAGTTTGATCCTTCGGAGCAACCGAATGCAGTATCCGCAAACCCAAAAGAGGTTCAACCCGCCGCACCAGTGGGCGAGCTGAACCACAGGGTAGGTCAGGCGTGGGAAGTAGAGTCTCCAGTGCCTGGTGACGTCACTTTCAGTGGGCAGGTGAAGCTTGTAGTCGCTCCAGTGTCTAGAGATGCCGTAGGCTGCTCGGACGGGCCGCCCACGCTCAGACCACCCAACTATGCTGTCAGGGTTACAGTTAAAATCAACCCATTGACAGGTGAAGTCCCCGAGCTGGGGTGCGTCCTGGACCTCCAGGTCTGTGGGACTAGAAAGCACTGCCCCTTGAACTGCTACATAAAGTCCCTCTATTTTCTGCACCTCCTTCACCCAGGGGGGCGAGTTATCGGTGTCGAGAATAATGATGAGACGGGAACAGAATCCGGCGTTCTTTTCTCTCCAGAGCTGCACAATCTCATCTAGACGTAAAACATCTCCTCCTGATTATATTAAAAGACAAAAAAAAGCCCTCTATAAAAGTCTTTACCAGCATTTGGCTGAATTCAATATGCACAATATCTTTTTAATGTATTTTATGTAAATAGTATGCAATTGCAAAAGAAATGTAAATTTTACTCATAGGTTAGTTAATGTCACAAAACAATGTCCAGATCATATTTATCTGCAAAATCAAGATAGATAGCTAGATAAATAAATGACATTTGAAAAATTGGAAAGTGTTTATACATTATGATTGTAAAAAAAGCTACCATTTGGAAAAACAAAACTCATTTTTTTAAATTGTAAAGTATACTTTATGGTTGTATTTGCTAAGGCATTTAATTTATGCTTATTCAAATACATATGACAGATGTTACAGATGATGATATATAACTGATGAATATTTTCTCAAATATTCTGTTATTTTTATTACTATAATACAGCATAATACATCTTAATACAGTAAAAAAAAAAAAAAAAGTGTTTTGTTAGTGTTAGTGATTTTTTAAATAATAATTAGCACAAAAAATATTAAGGGCACAGAAATAAAACATCAGCATTTTTAAATACACTTTTTAATGAGAATTGAAGGAAAATGCATAAAAAAAATAAAATCCAATTTCATTTTTCATACTTTTTTCATTTTGGATGAATGTTCTTGAGTTAGAAGTTATGAGATTCACCCAGGTTCTGTTGTGTCTGTTTCAACAAGGAAAAAGTTATATGATTCTCTCACCTGCTAGAGCCCACTCTCCGCTGCGGTGGGTGTGTCCGCTGTAATAGAGCACGTAGGTGTCGTGTCGTGGGCCGTCAGCCGTGTGCGCCTCCATGAATATGCGCAGCTTGGCTTGCAGGGCTTCCAGACTCAAGCCGCTCGTGGAGTAATCGCAACCGTAGGTCTCGATCATGTGATGAGAGAAGAAGCGCTGCACGTTGTTAAGCATCCCTGTGGAACGCAAGTTGAGCTCCTGCACATGCGCCGGGGGCAGCAGAGTGGGCTGACCATCTGGGCTGAGAGAAAATGAGAGGATGAGGATGAAATACTGACCCTCTGTGTAAGTTACTGACTAATCAAGTACCTGAAGTATCTGAGTTACTAAAATGTATGCATATGTGTATATGTTTCCAGTACCTGCAATAGTTGGTAGGAATCACCACAGCGTAGCCGACACAGGTGCCTCCGAGGCTGTTTCCCAGCTCATAGAAGAGGCCATGGGCTAGTGACTCGAGAGGCAGCACCAGCAGAAACAAGGCAATAAACAGACTGTTGGATGGCTGTAGGAGAAAACAATACAATACAAAAAAAATCACCACCCTTATTTTAGGGCAGAACATACATTAAATTGAATATATATATATATATATATATATATATATATATACACAGTGCACAACATAAATGAGTACACCCCCTCTAAAACTTAACAAATTTAGCAATTACTCTTTACTTAGAAGACATGTTAGGGTTCTTTGGAGATTTAATGGTCCAACAAGCCTGCTTGATCAATTACCAAAGAATGCCAAAATTATTCAGCAAAATAAGATTTTCTTATCAAAGTGATACAATTTTGTGTTGCAAAAATTAGTACATCCTCCTGAAAGTTACTAACTAAAAAAAAAAAGTGTATAGGTTTAAGGCTATTTTTGATCAACACAGGTAAGTATATTGAACCAAAACTTTTAAAGACAAGCAATTTCCTGACAATTAAAAGTGTTACATAGCCCACTGAATCATACTCGGACTTAATGCTGGCAGCAGCGGAACCACTTGTGAGAGAACTGCCAGGTGACTTGTTTCTTAGCATAAAAGAGGACAATGGTACAAGAGCAATACCAAATTCTTGTTTTAAGTGTGAAAATATAGCAGAAGTAGCACCGACATTCAAAAACAATGGACTTGTGATAAGGCTCCTGAAATAATCAGGTCTTCACTTTAAGTTTTCATTTAGTGAGGAGTGAATTTGCACTAGAAAAAGAGCAGGAGAAATAACATGCAAGTGTCTCAGAGCCGGCAAAAGATGTGAAAAGAGTGACACTTTATCTCACAGAGTATGACAGCATGCAGAAGTGACATGCATGGTTGTTGTCACCACTAGAATTACCTAGCATTATTGGGCATTTTTTCAGCATGACAATGAATATATTCATTCTCCCAAGGTGAAAATCCTTCAGTGGACATGTAATTCACTCAATCTTAATGCTCTTGAGCAGCTGTGGGGGATTCTGTAGAGACGAGCTGAGCAAATTTCCCCATTAAAGATCAGAGCATTTAAGGAGGTCGTCCTCCAGGAGTTAAACAGCACAGATGTGAAAATTTGTCATGAACTTGTACACTCAGTGCCAAGAAGTCAGAGTAGTATACTTTAAGTTCTGGAGGACATACTAGAATATTATACATTTTCTGAATTAAATCTCGGGTGTACTAATTTCTGCAATCCTTCATTTAAACAAAATTGGCTAATTGACTTATCTTACAGAAAATATTGCATATATTTTGTTGTTTTTATTAAGTATATGTTTAATGTTTCAATTTTGCCATCTTTCCATGAATTATATTAGTGATCATTAAGAAAATACATATTTTATATTTATTCAGAGGGGGTGTACTCATTTATGCTGTGCACTGTATATACACACACACATATATACATATATATATAGTGTTGCTTGAAAGTTTGTGAACCCTTCAGAATTTTCATCATCAAAAAAAAGATCATCAGATTTTCACTTAAGTCCTGAAAGTTTACAAAGAATCAAATCCAATCAAACAAATGAGACAAAAATATATACTTAGTCATTTATTTATTTATTGAGAAAAATGATCCAGTGGTACATATGTCTGATGATCTTTTGGTTCACATTTATGCAGAAATATAGAGAACACTGCCCTTTTTTGCCTCTAATTATTTATTTTTTAAAAATACACTACTTTTCAAAAAGAAAAATGTAAGATTAAAAAGTAAGATTAATATTAAAGAAATGAATACTTTTATTCAGTAAGGACATTAAATTGATCAAACGTGACAAAAGACATTTAGTAAAGACATTTTATAAATAATAAAAGATTTTTATTTCAAATAAATACTGTTCTTTTGAAATTCCTAAAAACTGTATCATGGTTTCCACAACGATATTAAGCAGCACAACCTTCAACATTGATAATAATAATAAGAAATGTTTCTTGAGCAGCAAATCAGTATCTTAGATTGATTTCTGAAGGACCATGTGACGCTGAAAACTGGAGTAATGACGCTGAAAATTCAGATTATTTTTATAGAACATTTATATTGATAGAAATTACATTTTATAAAATGTAAAACCATTATTTATAACAGTTATATAACAAAAGTGCATTACCACTTAATAAATATGCCAAATCAAAGTCATGTGGTGAAACCAATATGCAAGAAAAATAACCATAAAACAGGAAATTATATCATAGAGGGGACACTTGTAAACCCTCATGATTGTAATTTGCCATTCTTTTTATGGGTGGTTTAAGTTGTACACCATCATGTGGTGTGACTTCCAAAAAAGAATGTGTATATATATATATATATATATATATATAAATAAAATAAATAAATAAATAAATAAACTCTATACCTTAAAATATTTTAAAAACTTTTGAAATAAATGACGTTCACTCACAAGTATTCCAGAAAAACATGATACTTTTACACTTTGAGTCATTATGTCTAATCTTCTCTTGAAAATTAAAATGTGCTTTTCTTGAAAGTTTTTCAAAACCACGCAAAACCACCATGAACACAAGAACTATTTTTCTAAAAACTAAGAAAGATTTTCACATGAAGCCTTACCTGCCAACCCAGAGCCCCGAGTATGATGGTGGACATCAGGCTGAAGATCACCAGGCGTTTTGATATGAGACAGAAGTGCCGCATCCCCTTAGACGCCATGACCCTGTCCAGCTCTCCAGCCTGTGATGTGTGCACCATACACATCCTCTGACAGTCACTCAGCTTGTTGTGAAAACCCCACAGCGTGATGAGAAAAACCAGGTGGCAGATGATCCAGAAAACAGCAGATCCTGAAAGACCCGGAATGAGCAGGTACCACCGATCCAGATCTCTCATCTTCAGAGCGGCCACGACTAAAAACATCCCCTCCATGACCACCAGAGGAAGAAGCATCAAACGCCTCCACAGGCCTCCTCTCAGTAGGAGCGGCGACCAGCGTTCGGTGACCGAAAGTCCGCTGAAGTAAACGTCTAGGAATGGGTCGCAGACGAGGCGGCTGAAGAAGCAAGACAAGGCGAAGGGGTTGGTGGACACTCCTAAAGACTCCTGGAAGAAGAACGCAGCCACAAACGAGAAGCAGACCAGGTTTGGGATCGCCAAGAAGGACTTCATGCGCAAATCCACGATTAGAGCGGCCAAAGCCAGTGTCAGGACCCCAAGGCTTATGGATTTTTGGCTGACCATGGTTGTGCTGGCCACAGCAAAGCCTGTGAGCTCCAATGCTTCCCTTGAAGTGAGGAAAGTGGGTTGAAGTCGGGTATAACCGCACATTCTTCCAACCAAAGCCCATAGGATTCGTATCACAATGCTTGCTATTAACATACAGTTGGCCACCTGCTCCTTAACATCGAGCTCTTTGGACGGGACGCTGACGAAGCACAGCAAACCCAGAAGGAAACCAAACCCCAGATGCAGCAGAAAGAGGCTGACGTTCTCCATGCCGAAGTAATAATGGAGAATGCAGGCAATCCCAAGAACAAAGAGGCCCAAAATGAAAATGACCAAGATGATAGTGTCTGCGGTTTTCTCCCATTGTATGTAAATTCCCAGGCAAATGGCCACCAGGGAGTTCAGGCTGGACAGGTAACCGAGGTACCGAATGGACGACCACATGTTGACCCCTTTGTTGGCTTCGTCTAGCCGGGTCATAGCAGCGTAAAGGAAGTGGCTCAAGCAATACTTGAGCAGCTTGCACATCGTTGCAGTGTAAAAACTCACACAACAGCAGAAAAACTTGCAATTTATAGGTCACAACAGAAACAATTATTCGCGACATAACTATTCAGCAAAAAGGATGTAAGAACTGCATGTTGTAGGGTGAATTTGAGGTCAATCTAAAACTAAACTGTTTCTATAGATATTAGTGCAAACGTTAGAGTAACATCTACAATGAATCAGTGGATTGTCAATATCCACCTGTTACTGCTGAATGAACCCAACTGTTCAACTCAAAGTCATGTTATAGTGACTGAAACTAAGGCGTGAACTAGATGTGCAAATGTTAAACTCGTTGGAAGTTATTAAATAAGAGTAAATATGAGAGCTGAAGAGTTTTAATGTCCTGTCAGTCTGATTTAGTCGAGCAGATTCCAGTGCGTTTACCGGCGGCAAGTTGATAGAATGTGTTGTTTCTGTTCACGACGAGAGTAACATCGATTAAATCAAGCAAAAAGAAATACGTCAGTCGACATACAAGTCAACGATTGTTGTCGTTTACAGAAAAATAACTAAAACTGGAAATTTAGTGCACAATATCCCGAACCATCGCCTAAACGCTCAATGTCCGCCATGTTTGCACATTGGTATTAAGCCGCTACGGAATCCCTGAAAGGACAAACAGCGTCCATCACCGGCTCAGTGAAACGGGGGTGAATGGAATCAAATGTTTTATTTATCACCGATATATGTGGCAAAAAAAAAATTTGTTTATATAAAGTTTATGTAAGCTATAAGATTTTGTTTTTGAAATGTCTTACTCTTACCAAGGCGGCATTTATTTGATTAAACATACAGGAAAAACAGTAATATTGTGAAATTACGATTTAAAATAGCTGCTTGCAATTTTAATATATTTTAAAATGTAATTCATTCCTGTGATGCCAAGCTGAATTTTCAGCATCATTACTCCAGTCTTCAGCGTCACGTGATCATTCAACAATTACTTTAATATTAATTTACTATTAGTATACCGATTTACTGCTCATGTAAAACATTTGTGCTGCATATTTTGTGGAAACCTTGATACATTTTTTCAAGATTCTTTGATGAATAAGTTTTTAAAGAACATCATTTACTTAAAACCAAATTCTAATATTATAATCCATTATATTAACAATCTTTACTGTCACCTTTGATCAATTTAACGCATCCTTGCTGAATGAAAAAAAATTTACTGACCCCAAACTTTTCTACAGTACTGTAGCTTACTACAATAGATATATCCTATTTAAAATGTAAAACGTTTAAAATGTACTGTCAAATATGAAATGCATATATGAATAGCTGTCAAATATTTAAAGCAACCTGCTATAGGCAAATGAAAGACCAGAGAGAAGTCAACAAAAACCTTTATTTATAAAAGATGAATAACAATATTCATCACAGATAGTCTGGTTCTGTGGGAGTCAACCATCATAACACTGATAAAGAAAATCAATCATGCAAACAGTGGATTAGAGCCCGGGGAAGACAAAGACATTTGATATGTGAATGTTTGAACACACCACCAAGTAAAAATATAATACAAAGCTTTTTTTTTTTTTTAAATGGTCTTAAAACATCTTTGTTGTCAGATTTATAAATCGAATACAGACTAAAGAATGCCTTTAAATACTATTGCTAATAGGGCAGTATTTTAGTACATTTTTTCCAAGAGCTGGTTAATTTGCTGAAAGTATGTATGTTTATTGTGGGAGAGAAAATATTACTTCCTAATGACAATCAGTAGCCTGTTCTTGAATCCAGTCTATAAAATCACAAATGCAAAAATACAATTTGGGTTTGAAGGCACCTTGAGGAGGATATTTTTTCTGATACCCTGAAAGATCACATACTGAATTCTATAACCATTTCAAATCTTTCCACACTTTTTGGCACCCCTACAACACATTTAAAGTGCCTAACACCAAAACCTCACATATATACTTCAACAGTGCACATCTCACACACTCCTTCAAGAGTAAAGACCCATCACAGCACATTCTCATGTCATCAGGTTTACCAAACGATAACTACATGAATTCAATAGAAAACAGTGCCTAATATCAGTCACTCAATTTAACTGCCAGGTTACAGTGATATGGGGAATTTTTGACCGTTTATGATTTTGAACGTATTGCTATTCTAATGAAGTGCTGATGCCAATATCAATATTTTGTCAACCCACAAGGAGGGTATTATTGAAAACGTGCAAATATGTGCTTGGACAGTCAAAATTGTGTTTTTAAGAACCTGGAGTGGAAGGCACCTTGAGGAGGATATTTTTTCTGATACCCTGAAAGATCACATACTGAATTCTATAACCATTTCAAATCTTTCCACACTTTTTGGCACCCCTACAACACATTTAAAGTGCCTAACACCAAAACCTCACATATATACTTCAACAGTGCACATCTCACACACTCCTTCAAGAGTAAAGACCCATCACAGCACATTCTCATGTCATCAGGTTTACCAAACGATAACTACATGAATTCAATAGAAAACAGTGCCTAATATCAGTCAGTCAATTTAACTGCCAGGTTACAGTGATATGGGGAATATTTGACCGTTTATGATTTTGAACGTATTGCTATTCTAATGAAGTGCTGATGCCAATATCAATATTTTGTCAACCCACAAGGAGGGTATTATTGAAAACGTGCAAATATGTGCTTGGACAGTCAAAATAGTGTTTTTAAGAACCTGGAGTGGATTTAAAAAAAAAAGGCAAATTCTGCAGTTACATACATAGGAGCTAAAAACGTACAGTGATATGCAACAATCTTTTTGTAGTACTTGAAATCAATATCTGGCAGAGTACTTTCCAAACATTTGTACCATAATAGTTATATTCAGTAATTTAGTAACTAAAATAATGTACTGAAACTTAATGGGATATACACCAGATAACGATACAGGAAGTAGATTTAGAGCAACCAAAGGTTTCGAGAGTAAACAAATCATCCTACTCAAAGTCACATTATGGCGAAACGCAGAGAACTCTAACCTGTTCCATACTACATACTACTGACAAGTAATTGGAAATTACTGGTTACATTAGTGCTTAAAACGAAAACGAAGGCAGACACGCAGCTATTTCAGGCCGTTTGATTGCAAGGTTAGAAACCACAACGCATGCACCCAATCTGGTCACCTGCAAGATTGTTTGTTCTGAAAAACTATGACTACTTCGCATGATTTGTACCTTGTTGAAGAGAAAAAATCCACATTCACAGTTACAACGTCACATAACCAAACACGCACAAGTTCTGCAGACACTTAAAATGCTACAAATATCATTGATAAAGGCTATTCCAAAAAGTCGGTAGCACAGATGGCTGAAATTGACATCTAAAATGTCCAGCGAAAACTTGCTAAGAATCAAACCATTAATTGGATAGTTCACGCAAAAATTGAAAATTTTGCCGTCATTTTCTCACCACCATGTTCCAAAACTGTATGAATTGTTTTTATTTCAATGTTAACTGTTTTTGTTCTTACAACATTGGTTTGGACCCCATTTACTTTCATTGTAACTTTAATTTCAATGTAACTTTTAGAAACGATGAAAATCATTGGGGTCCAAAATAATGTTATTTTGGACCCCATTGACTTTGATTGTATGGACAAAATTACACTGAGGCACTTTTCAAAATGTATGCATTTCAGAGAAGGCAGAATTCATACAGGTTTGAAATGACATGAGGATGGGTAAATGATGACAATGTTCATTTTTGGCTGAACTCCTTTTTTGGAATTCAGCGGAAAAAGTCCAAAACAGCATGGTAACTCCAACCAAAAGTTTGGATCTTTTGTCACCGACAATAACTACGCCTAAGGTATAAGTTATGCTAGTTTGAAACGGTTTATCCAGTTGACAGTAATTCTAAATGAGAAAACAGACAAAGTGGGTGAGCAAAATCTTCCTCGACCTGAAATCACGTAACTGCTTCTGTTACAAAACCTCACTTTCTTAATTAAGACTGTTTAGTGTGTACATGTCTTCAAAGGGATGACTTGCACACTCTTAAATATCAACGCCCACTTAAACGTCCTCATTCACTCTGTGCAAACTGTTTGCTGCATAAAAAGGGGTCGAGTACACAAACGCAGCACAGCAATTTTGGCAGCACGAAGGTAGGGTACTAAATATCACGAGGGGCAGTAAACAAGTTCAGCTCTGCAGCAAAATAGGGTCTTCCAGCTCGTGGAAGGGAGCTGAGCTGCTCTGGCTCTCGCCCGAGTCCGAATCGTACGGGGTGTCTGGCAATTCCGCAAAGCTACACGCCAACTGGTCGTCCTCGAAATCGGAGCGTGGAGGCTCGTAGCAATCTGCGAATCCGTCCTCGTCGAACGTGTTAAAGTCCTGCGGGATGTAAAGCATCTCCGGGTAGTTGCGGCTGACCAGGTCGCTGATGGTGGTGGGCGACACCTTGCGGAAAGCAATCAGGTGCATGTGGGAGAACTTGACGTACTTGTAGCGCTTGAAGCCCAGAGACTCCACTGCAACTCGCCAGCTGCGCATCATAAGTGTGTGCCGGCCCTGGTGGGAGGAGTCAGGGGTGATGATGAGGAGCAGGCCATTCAGGGTCAGGAGTTCATGTGCTTTCTTGCAGCAGAGCCAGCGCTGGTAGGGTGAGGGGAAGTAGGAGAGAAGCAGGGAGAACACTACCACGTGAAACAGCTGGGCAGGTAAAGCGTCGATGGGGCCGCGCAGCTGCCGCAGGAAGGCATCCAAAGCATCGCTGGCCAGCTGCAGAGGTTGCTGCAGCTGCAGGTTGAGAAAGTCGCATTTGTAGACGCTCTGTAGCCATAAAGAAGAACAAAAAAATCTGAACATTTAGCTATACTCAGCAGGGCAGGTAAAATTATTACATGGGTCAATGACAGTGTCCAAAATAAAGGATATAAATGTTTATATTTTTTCTTAGAAATATACTCTTTGTACTTATACTGGTTTTGAAAAATGTTTAATGTTTGAAAAATATCATTAATAATGACATAAAATAAAAATGTATGTGGTGTATCCATTATACTACTATTTTATTATACTACTAAAAAGTTTTTTTTAATAAAGATGCATTCAATTGATCAAAAGTGACATTAAAAACCTTTATAATATTTAGCGAAGACATTTCTAATATTTAAAATAAATGTTTTTTTTACTTTCTATTCTAGTAAATGCACTATGGTTTCCACAAAAATATTAAGCAGCACAACTGTTTTCTGATGACAGAATTTTTATTTTTTGGTGAAGTGTCCCTTTAACTTCAAAAAACATTATCAAAAATTTAATTAAATTAATACACAATTTTAAGGAAATTGTTTTCAACATTGATAAGAAGAAATGTTTCTTTGCATATTAAAATGATTTAAGGATCATGTCACATTGAGGACTGGACTGAACTTCTGAAAACATTACATAAATTAAAAGACAAAATAAAACTATTTTAAGGAAACTTTTTTCAACACTGATAAGAAGCACAGTTTCTTGCATATTAAAATATATTTTTTAAGGATCATGTGACATTGAGGAGTAGAGTAATGACTGCTGAAAATTCAGCTTTGCCATCACAAAAAAATTACATTACCTTAGTGAGCCTTTTTTACGTTAATGCCCAAAAACATCAAAATGAAGTGTATTCAAGCCAAATATGTATGAACTGCATTTTTAATGTCTATTTGAATAAATTAATAGATCCAGACAAAGAAAACAACGTAATTATCCAATAACAAACTTTAGTCAGAATATATGACATTTTTAATTTGATGGAACTATTAAATGGATGTTACTTCTGTTCCTCACAGTTGTTTTCCCATTCAATGTAATCACGAAGAATATAGTATCATATAACGTCAAGTAACACAAACCTCTACTGCTGGCACAATGTCAATACCGACAGTCAGAAACTCGTCAAACTTCAGGAAGGGATTGAAACAGCTGCCCACATCCAACAGCCGTATCCTCCCAAGCTGGAACGCTGAGCTGTTACAAAGCAAGAATAAAAAGCTGATTTAGTCAATGAACTCGTTGCTATCTGGAATTTTGTGGATATGCAGTGTTAAAGGTATCATTCTAGAACACCTTGAAGAGGACGATTGTGGTAGAGAGTTTGCAGATGCGTTATTCCCAGCTGCGGCGTGTCTAGCACTCTTCTCATCCTTCTCCAACACTCGCCTCATCCCTCCATCCTGGAAGTACTCCTGACAAACACTGCGGCAAGACAAATGTAACATCAATAAGTACCAAATCTGCTTCTCAACATAAAATACTGACCATTAGCAATCATACCTGCGGCACCACTCAATGCGCCCCTCACCCTCACATTTATTCGCCCAGTGGTTGTCAGCCAAGTTCTTCATGGCCATGGCATATTCGCTGAGAGTCTGCTCGTCTTCACAATGTTCACGCCATATTTTCTCGAAATCTCCCACTACAGCCGAAAAGACAAAACAGAGGAGCGTACAGTCATGATTAATCGTTCTGCACCACATAACTAGTGAACATTTCCACAAAGCCTACTTTCAGAAGTCAGCTGATGTTGTGCTTCCTCTAAATTTTGATTCTGAAACCACTGCGTCCAACGGCTCACAAAACACCATACGACTTCTTCAACAACTCAGTAAAACTCCATTGCCAGGCTCAAAAGCACTGTATCATCGAAGTGTTTGTGCTGATTCACACCGTTTAAAAACTTGCTGATAAAGCCGATGACACCAGAAGGCAACCAGAGTGCTTGGGAGGGCAAGAACTGACAAAAAGTGATCTGTCCCATGACAGAATGGAAAATACAGGCCTTATCAGATTTACAGTGAATAAGACAAGATGGGAAGAGACTGCAGCGCCGTTATATATGAATGCTGTTGTACAATGCCAAGAAGACCAGATCACGCCTTCCTTATTAACCCATCATGGGGTCAAGTGAATAGACTACTTTGTGTGGGATTTATAGCGCTGCCAGTCCCTCTCGGGGGAAGATTCGATAAAGCTATAGTCTGAACCATGAGAAACTCAACAACACAGTTAAAGTCAGTACAAACACGGTGGTACTTTAAATTAGGTTTTGCAATTAGTTCTGGTAGAAATAATTGCAGGCAAAAATATAACATTTCAAAATCTCTGTCATGATTTCAGTCTTGGATGATGCTCACTGCAGTGCAAAATTGTAACAGGAAACGTAACAACATCCTCGCAGTAATTTACTTCTATCAATAAAAAGACTATTTGACCTTGCATGTCTCAAGATAATATTTTTTATATTCTTTTTAAAAATGTGCACGCATAGGTTAGAAACTTATCATGATCAGACAACACAATAAGAGACACTTTTCACAAATTGGGCACAAAATATGGCCTGAAAGATGGCTTTTGTTTTTAAGTTTTTTTTAAAGGGATAGTTCACCCAAAAATGTCAATGTCATTCCAAACCTATATCTGTGACTTTCTTTCTTCTGTAGAACATAAAAGAAGATATTTTGAGAAATGTCTGCATGATTTGATGACAATTTTCATTTTTGGGTAAAGGGTCCATTTAACTTCATAAAACATGTAAATGTGACAACAGGAAATATATATTGTATTCATTTTGTTATGTGTGTGTGTAGGCATGGGCCGGTATGAGATTTTGACGGTATGATAACCTTAAGCAAAAATATCACGGTATTGTTGTTACAGCTCTAAAATTTTACAGGTAAAAAAACAAAATTTATTTCCACTGAACACAATGTATTTTATTTTTGAGCAACATACAGAATATTTGGAACGGCAGTATTAGTTTATTTTTGATTCGATTTGTTTCTGAAATGTTTGCTGAATTGTGGGCGGTCTTGCAGCTTTTGATGTGAAAGAGAAAAAAAGTTAAAAAATAAAGACTGACATCTTTATTTAACCTACAGTGCCTTTCGAAAGTTTTCATACCCCTTCATTTTTTTTCGCATTTTGTTGTGTTGCTGCCTTATGTTAAACTGCTTTAAATTACTTTTTTTCCACATCAATCTATACTCCATACACCATAATGGTAAAGCAAAAAACAGGTTTTTAACATCTTTGCAAATTTATTACAAATAAAAAAAACTTAAATTATTATTATTATTTGGAACAGCTGAAATTTAGCTTAGGAGCTTATAGATGTTACTACACTTCGAGTGAAGTTAACCTGTGGCAAATTCAATTGAATGGGTATAATTTGGAAAGGCACACACGTCTTAATAAAAGGTCTAACGGCTGATAATGCATATCAGAGCAAAAATCAAGCACTGAGGTCAAAAGAACTGCCTGTAGAGCTCAGAGACAGGATTCTGCTGCATTGAAGGTTCATAGAAGCATGTAGTCTCTGTTACCCTTAATGGAAGATGTTTGAAACAACCAGGACTCTTCATAGAGCTGGCCTCCTGGCCAAACTGAGCAATTGATGGAGAAAGGCCTTTTCTAGACTGGTGGCCAAGATCCTGATGGTCACTCTAGTTGAGCTCCATGATCATATGTGGAGATTGGAGAAACCTACAGAAGGACAAACATCACTGCAACACTCCACGGATCTGGGCTTTATGGCAGTGTGGCCAAACTCAATCCTCTCCTCAGTGAAAACACATGAAAACACAATTGGAATTTGCAAAAAAAAAAAGCACCTAAAGGACCCTCAGACTGTGAGAAACAATATTCTCTGGTCTTTGAACCTCAATTCCAAACATTATGTTTGAAGGAAACCAGCTCCGCTCATCACCTGCAGAGTACCAT